GTTTCACCCTCCTCCCTAGCAGCCCCGCCGTGCGCTGCAGGCAAAGCCAGTCTCCAGCGCGGGGAGGGTGGGCTGCCCCCCTGATCGTGGCCGTGCTCCCGGGGTGAAGTGATGCACGGCTGGGTCCGGTTGTTTTCCTTTTGGTCAGAATCTACGGTGCGAGGAAGCAGAGAAGACGGCCTGGTCCGGGAGTGAAGAGGAGCAGGAGCTCCAGCCAACACCACACGAGGCTCCTGGAAGCACTGCCAGCACAGGAGGAAGCAGCGTACACAGTCCAGGGCTTCCATCTCCTCCTGGCGCTGGTGCTGACACAGAGAGGACAGGAGGGGAGGACTCTGAGGATGACGTTCTGAAATATGTCAGGGAGATCTTTTTCAGCTAACATCTCATCTGTGGCTCCCCAGGAGTAGAGGGACAGTGAGGAGGGTGTCCCCTCCCACTGCTCTGAGGACGGTGGGAGAAGGACCTGGAGTGAGTTGTGGTCGGCTGTGTTGGTGCTCTATGGAGCTAGTAGAATACCCATGAAGGCCATAAGGGAAAAGGAAAAAGACACTCATTTCTCCCACTCTATGCTCAGTTTGGCTCCAGATGGGGTTGTGTTCATTTCTGTTTGGCATCTCAGAGCGTGGACATATTAAAGAGGACATTTCGGGTTTCTGTGAGTGTCCCTTTGGTGGGTCAGTGTTGGGACTGGAGGGGAGCAGGGAGTTGCTGACTCTGCAAGGCCTTTGCTGGCTCTGTAGAGCTGCATAGTCATGGTTCAGCCCTTCTTGTGGTCCCTCTGTGACAGCTGCAGTGGGGCCTGACAGGCTGTCCCTATTGGATGTGATGCTGTTTTGCCTCCAGACTCTGGCAGTCCTTCCATGGCTGAGGAAGACATGGATGGGAGCAGACTGGCAGGGCCTTGACTGTCCTTGAGGGGGCTGACTCCATGGCAGTATGCATGGGGGTCCAGAAAGGGATGAAGATGGCTCAGTATCCTCTTCTCAATTAAAAAGGGGGTGAACAAACCACATAAGACCAGAAGCAAAAGCCTTTATTGAAATGAATAAGCAGTCAAACCAGCATCACCAGCCACATCCCTCCAAGGCTGAAGCAAGAGAGAAAGCCCCCCCATGTCCTCAGAGAGGGTGGGGGTAAAGGAGGCGTTTCTTTGTGCAGGGTTACAGCCATGGCATAGAGCAGTGTGCTGTCATGGTAGGGAGACCCTATCCAGTGCTCTGGCTATGATGGCCCAGCTGGGGAACTGCACCCTGGCCTTTGGTAGCCCTGGCCCTGCTCCCTGAGCACATCCCTGTGTGCCATGTGTGTTGAGCTAGCTTTGCAGTGAGCTCACACAGAACCACTTCTAGAGTCTCAAAGGCTGCTGGAGTGCTGGGCTCAGCCTTGTAATATCAGTGGGGACAAACCTGGGGCTCTGCACCAAAATCCTCTGTTTCCTTGTGGAAACCTCATGAGGGCTGTATCCATTAAGTTGTTAGGCTGCCCCTCCAGGTGCTCTGCTGCTGCTGGGGTTGGATATGGGACATGTCACTCTAATGAACTAAGGCAGAGTCACTCCAGATATTATTTCAGCAGGTGAAGTACAGGGGCTTCTGCTGAAGAGAGTATTTTCAGTGCAACTTTGGGGCTGCCACAGTTGTGATGGTATCATGAAGCCAGAGTTCAAGTCAGAATTGCCTTGAAGGCACCCCTGGTTACTCCAGGAGGTGGAGAAGGAGCAGGTTCTCTTTGGGCAATGCTAAAAAAGGAAACCTGTATGCTTCTCTGCCTACCTGTACTTAGGCTACATATAGACAAGGGGCTGTGTCCACAGTATACCTCTTCACTACTTTCTAGGTCAGGGCCAGAAATGCTGTCCTTTTGATGTTGTGCCCCAGACTGAGGGGTGTTACATGCTGTTGTTCCTGGGAAGCTTCCATGTTGTGTTGTGGCTGTTAGTGTCTGCTGCCAGGTC